CCGATCTCGGCAGCGTTGGTTGCCAGTCGTTGGCCAGGCTCAATCAAACATTACTTAATTACATGGATATGATATCAGTGATTGAAATACAAGTAATTCAATCTTACTACTGAGCATTGGTAACAGGTTCAAGGAGGAAAGAAAATCAATACCGGTATGCGATTCACGCCAGTCTGGCTGCCAAACTATTTATGACAATTATCAATGATAACTAAAACAAGATAGTTACCTTTTTGCTTTCGATTGGAAGCTTTGTAATCGCTCGATTTTCACATTCTCTAATTTTCATTGGAAATGATGTAGAATGTTCTGAAACGTAAAAAAAGGAAGTTTGGCGACCATGTCTGTATGTGAATATGTCCACCGCCACCTTCCCGATGGTCAATTTTTAGAAAATTGAATAATTAAGTGGCTAAAATAATTTTAAAAAAATTGAAATTGAAAATTGAAATTTTGTCAGATTATAGGTCTTAATGAGGACTAACTCTGTGCACAATTTCAGCCCGATCGGTCAAGTAATTTTTTAGATAAAGCGATTCGTTTTTAAATCGTTTTTCGCGAATATCTTTAAAATTATTGGACCGATTTAGATTTTTTTTTTCAAAATATTCGTCTTGATGTCCTCTATCTAGATCAATCAAAACATCAATACCTGTTCATGCAAAGTGTTCGAGATATTCCCCTTTTTCTGTTTTTTCATTAAAATCCTTGTATTATGCAAAGTCTAGTACTTGTGCCTATGCATGTGCAGGCATATGAACGAGAAACGGATCCATTCGGAATCTTACTACCAATGGAATTGGTAGAAATGAAAAGAAGAAAAAGACTAATAACGCAAAAAGAAACGGTCGCATGCCTTCTGTCGAATAGGCTCGAACCCCTGCTTGTTTTAGGATGATTTTTAGTATTAATTCTGCCCTATCTACCAAATCCTAAAACAATCATGGCTGAAAACCCGATTTTGTTAACTTAAAATATTACCCTAACGTGGACTGGAACCCACGACCTGACGACTACTAATCCGACGTCCTAACCACTAGCCTACCACGCAATTCGTAAAATTTCTACTTCAAATCGTCCATATTAATTCCACCTCGGTTTTTTTTCGACTTGAACATTTTATTATTGAGTTGATAGAGATATTAAGTGATTCAACTAGAGTTTAGTCGGTAAATTAATTCAATAATGAAGAACAATAATAATAACTATTAATTATAATAATAATTATAACAATGATGATTAATTTTGAATGACGATTCTTTTTTTTCGTGATAATTAGCGAATAATATGTGACTTCGATACCTACAATCCCACCATTTTATTTTTACGATTATACCCTTGAAATTCTACCCTCAAGATTCCACCCTTACCATTCAACCGTCACAATGTCACCCTTATGATTTTTTCGCTCCATTCCATTATTACGATTTAACCTTTACAATTTTACTCTTCAGATTTTACCCTTATGATTCCACCCCTAAGATTCCATTCTGATCATCCAACCCTTCCAACTGAACCCTTACAATTACACCAACGGCTGGAGTCCAAGCTCCGGGCCACCGCTGCTGGGGTTTGGTTATCGAGTTCCGACATGCCAATGTTCAGCCAAGGCTGGGCCAGATCTGTCAACCAAGGCTCGACTACCCGCCCTTCCCCCGAGGATCAAGCCCTGGTCCCCAAGGATGGCCGAACCGCGGTCCAAGCTTGGGCGCCCACACTTGGTCCGTTTTTCCAACACTGGCATTTCCTACCTGGGATAACAGTTCGATAAGCTTCCCTCTATTCTTCATGCACACATTTGATCTAAGCTTGTAGTCATTCGCCAAATTTCAGACGCTAGAATGGCCAAACGTTCGATTTAGAAATTCCGTACATTGTAAATGTCCGATCTCGAATAGCGGGAATGGATCAGCTACAGCCTGAGTGGTTTTCCGAAATTCATGCATGGTTTTTTTATTTATTATTAACTCATGAATGGTATACATGGTTTTCATCATGCCGACTCATGTAGCGTAAAAATTATGCCACAAAATCGATGAGACAATAGAAATACTATTCTCTTCAATTGTAATATCATTGAACATGTAAATTTGTAAAATTCTTATTTGCCTGAATCCGAGGAATTCATCCATAACAAGATGCCACGAAGTAGTAGAGGTATATGGACATCAGTAGACATTATTTTCCGTTATGATCGTCACCATGCATTTAGGATTATTTGATGAATCATTTTTCGACTAATATATGATCATAAGAGTCTTCGGTTCGAATTGTCAACTGCACGAGATGGACATTTCTTGCAATGCATTCGCAATAATAGAATCTCAGATTTGATCTATTGAGATTATTCCCGAAGCTATGTTTGTCATGAAAAATATTTGTTGCTAGAGACACAAGAACGAAAATTTGAAAGCCGAATACCTAATGCGATAAAACATCAGATTGTGTATAAGATACTTGTTCGTATGAGCTGACGTAAGATGACAATTCACTCAAAACCTAGCAATTTTTCCGCTCAGATACACACGGAGAGAAATATTCAATAATAAAAATTACGTATCTTTTCCGTAATTCCGGAGCGAAATGTGGTTGTAGGATATTTTACGGAACTGTCACGGAATTTTTCCAGAGCGTTCCGTAATTTTTACCTAAATTTCCTGTGACAAATTACGATACCGTCACTTAAATTTTCTGAGTCGATTCCGTAATTGGTGAGCGAATTGTGAGTTCCGTAATTTTTACTGAACATTTCTCACCGTGCATGTACGAATCAAGAAGCACCTGAAATACTGGATTATTCGTAAATATAAGTGTAGGTGACATTCATATTCTAACCAGGTTACATATCAGGATAATCAATAACAAACCCCTCGCTCATTCCGCAAAAATATTCGAGCAATTATAGAAATAGAAGACTCGCAATGAGGCCTATTGTGTTTTGCGCAGCTTTAAGACTATTGTCTCTTACTTTCATAAGAGAATAGTAACTCTATTACGAACTTTTGGAAACGGGTCGAACAATTACTGAAGAACGCTACAGTCGACAATTGAACAAATTGAGCGAGGTACTTGATGAGAAGAGGCCATTTACTGGGCAAGGTAGCTGCAAAGTCGTTGCTCCATGATAACGCTCGACCTCATGTTGCTCGCGCGACTCAGAAAACGATTTTAAGCTTGGGCTGGGAGGTTGTCCCGCACGCGGCTTATTCACCGGACTTGGTCCCTTCCGATTATTATCTGTTCCGGTCCATGCAGCACGCCTTGGAGGAAAGACGCTTCCAAACTCTGGACAATATACGAAAATTCGTCGATGACTTCATCGCCTCAAAGCTTGCAAGTTTTTTTCGCGATGGTATTCGTATGTTGCCCGATCGATGGGGCAAGGTCATCGAAAACGATGGACGATATTTCGAGGATTCATCTAGTCTTTATATATTTTATAATGCTACATATTTTGATAAAAAAACGGAAAGATTAAGTTATACACCTAATATCAGCATTGGGATTTCTTCGAAGCGAAATGATCTTATTTATTATTAACGTTTTTTTTGGGTAGAAATAACAATTTGCTTTAGCAGCATCTGAAACTTGTCGAATAGATGGGGTAGTGAATTGAGAGAGGAGATGAATCGATGCCCAGAATTTTCTAAGATAATTTATGTGTTACGATCTTATGAACTGAACAAGGCAAAATCTCTTTTATTCATGTTTGTAGTTTGCGGCTCTCTACTTCAATCATCAGTCCATCGCATATTCAGTATAAGTTATTCGATTTCAAATTGAGTCTCCATAGAGATTTTCGATTTCTGCTGATATGCCTAATCGGATGTCTGAAGTTTGGCGAACGTGACTATAAGCCGGAACCATAAGGACTTTTTCCCTAAATGCCCCCCCTCCCCCGTGAAGAAAACAATAGACGTATAGACATCAAAAATATCATATCTTCACGTTTCATGAAACTCTACATAAGTTTCAGGCAAATTTAGGAGATGGTCAACATCAACAATTACTAAGCTTCCATTCGGAAACAAAAGAGTCAACTCAAATAATTTCCAAAACCTTTAAAATTTGATCCTCTTGCTTAATCATCTTAGTATAGGTTAGTGCTCCTACAAAAAAATATTACAAGATCATTTTTGTAGCTAACAAAATTCTCTATAGTGTCTTTTCCGAAATCTTTCACTGAACCTAACGATTCTGAGATAGCTGAACAATTAGGAAAAACTGTGAAACTCGAGTTAAGAACAACACCTTAGCTAATTACGTAAATATAAATATGCAGTTTCACGATTGCCAAGAGACCGTGTGTTAACTCTTCACTCCTGAGCCCAATAAGGTACAGCATCGCTAGCCGGGTCAATTCATTTATTTCACGTCTAGTATTCAAATCCATCTTTATAATGATTTGAGATTGATTGGGATAATTTAAGTATTCGAATATCTTCAAAGGTACTATGTATTCCTTTGAAGCAAAACCGTGGAAGTTGTGGGTTCTTGACTGGAGTGTTGCTGTGGTCCTTTCTTATTATATCCATCAGGTTTATTATTAAATTAAATTTAATGGATATGAAGTATTCTTTCTTTAACTCCGTCATACCTTCTTACGACAATAAATTAATTTCATATAGAAATACCTTCATTTATTGGAGAATTAAAATTCTTTTCTTTCAATGAGGTAACCAAGTTTTTTTAAAGGAACCAACAGATTCCTGGTGAAGAATTCAATCCTGACCAACTCTTGGCGTAACCCAGGACTCACGACGAGGACGTAGTTGGTGGAGAGTCCCAAAAAGAAAATATATAAAAATTTATTAATTCCGTTTATTCGCATTTAATCGATGACCTATGGTATTGGTGTCCCATTGTTTACCAAACGATTTCCAATCATACTCTGCTTTCAGAATTTATTAATGTTACTATGTCCCCGCCAACGACCCTAAACCGCCCAATAATGGACCGTAAAAAGTGTTCACAATTGCACGTTCTCTCCTCTCTTTCAGTTCGAAGGTCAAGAGATAACCGAAAAGAAACTCGTCTTGGCGAAGCGCACCCAGGAACAACTCCAGGAGATCCTCAAACGTAAACAGTCCCTCTCCTTAAATCTGAAACGTGCGCTTCCAGCCTCCTCAGGTCGTTCCAGCAGTTCAAGCGACGTCTTGGCCAGTTGCGACCTGAAATCCTTCCAGGACGCCTGCAACCGTAAACTTAGAATCGCTTCGGCTCTCTGTCTTCTTCCTCCAGACCTCCCCATTTCCACCGACACAACTGAGACCTTCCACACAGCAGCTGCAGAGACTCCTGACCTCCAGTCCTTTTCGTCCCCGTCAAATTCAGTTGATCCGGTCAATTCCATCAAGTCAAATGATCCAATTAATCCTCCAGACCATGAAAATTTCCAGGAACTAAACGACCCTAAAACTGATGACAAACAAGAAGGAAACCTCTTCAATCACCGAATAATACCTTCCAGTGAAGACAAGATAGACGATAAAATCACAAATCATCAAATGATATCTTCCAATGAATTTATTGATGATAAGTTAATGAATCATCAGATGTCTTCAAGATCAGAGAAACAAGAAGAAAAGACTGAATTAATGAGTGATAATTATGAGATAATTGAGCCAACTGATGACAATAAAGAGTTAAATAGCGATTTAGTTGAGAATCCTAAAGATAATGATGATGATGATGATGAAGATAGTACATTTGCGAGTCACGAGAGAGGATCACTAGAGACCTTAAGTGATGATCCTTCGAGTCAGGAGAATCAGGCGATGAAGAGACTCAACCAGAGAATAACCCGGCAGAAGATGACGGTAATGAGGTGTCTTGAGTCCAGCACACCGGCCAAAGATGATTTAAATCGACAGATTCTGGTGCTCCAGGATCTTCAGAGGCAGCAGATTGAGCTCGAGATCTGGTTGCTGAAGAAGGGGAAGGATTACGAGATGAGGAGAGGCTTGAAGGGGGCAGAAGGGAGGGCGGATTATTTGGAGACAGAGTCTGAGGACGATAACTGGAACTCTGGGGTGGATGGGGATATTGGAGGAGTAGGGAGAGGATTAATGGGAGAGAGAGATGTCATGAGTGATCAGGATGAGGATGGGAGGGAGGCAATCAGGAATGGAGCACAAAAAGGGCCGGTGAGCAGGGGATACTCCTCGGTTTATCTTACGGTGAGTGTGGTTTTTTCACATTTGGATAAACCAAGTAGTGTCAGAGATAGACGACATTCAATGGAGATAGATTTTCTAATTTATGATGTGGATAGTAATGAGAAAGTTATAATACTTCCAGGTTGAGTGACCCCGACTATTTTTCATCATCTTTTTTTTTAAACAAATGTCCTTGTTAGTGTCTTTTTTCAAGGCTTTCAATTAGAATGTACTCACGTAAATAGATAGTTTGTGAAATATTTCTTTCGAAAATCGAGTTTTTAGTGATTAGTGAAAAAACGCTCATTGAAATCAATTAAATTATGGATAAGATCATGTCAATGCTCTCTTGATTAGATTTATAGATGATGGAAATAGAATCATATGTTGTTGACTTACACGATAGCGTAATAAGCGTTTCTTCACGAATGAAAGCTTTATTTTCGCCAAAGTTGAACTTTTCGATTTTTTGTATTAGAATGACTAAGTATGCTTTGAAAAGACATAGAAGACCAATGTCGAATGTGTCTGTATGATGTACTGATCATGAATGTGTATGTGCAGTTGTGTGTGTCATTAAGTTTTAGTGGAAATAATTTCTCTTTCAACGATGAACCAGCGAGGTAAAAAATGCAGCCAATTTCATGAAATTTCTTGAGTATATGAAGAGTTTCAGATTGCTGTAGAAAATGGTTCAAATTAAATAAATTATTTTAACACTTCGTTGGTCGCGCTAAACTTACGAACGTCGTTGGTCGCGCCGTTAGCACTGTGCCAGCAATAATTGACATGATGATAAATTTTAAATATCCAGGAAAAATATGAAAAAAATCAACAGTCATCTAGATAGTACGCTATAAAAAATTCTGTGGGATTTTTCATCCTCAGTGTTACCCTTCATTACATATCCAAACTCAAAGTTGACCTGTTTTTCGGGAAATGTACTTTATACGCAGAACACGGCATGGAGTTTCGGCAAACAAATTTAAAAATCTTACTGCGTATGACATATTTGGCTGAAATTTTTATTGGTAAAGTTTCCAGACACTTCAAAATTAGATGTCAATTTTTTTCAATTTTGTCAGAGGGTTGACTGCAGTGTCATTGAAATAAATTGGAATAAGTGCGGCGCGGTGCTCAAAGCGTGACCAACGGAATGTTGAGGTATTTATGGCGGGATGGGCATGTAGGAGGTGTAGCCCATACGCTGGGAGTGAAAAGATATGCACTATGAGGTCCATGGGTCAAGTTTGTTTGTTTCGATATTTTTTGGGTCCTAGAATGCAAATTTGTTTGCTGGCCAACGCTCAAGTGATGCATTCAAAAGTTATTAACAATTGAATTGTTTAAGGGGAGACTACTATGAGTTTTAAAAGTCGTGGGTTATTGGAGTGAGACTTTTCATACGTTGGAGATCGATTATATAGATCTGAAAACGAATAATTAGTGGAAAAAAATTTTTTTTTTATTGTTCGTGTAGCGAAGGTACTTTTATATTTATTTCACACCATTTCAATGTATTATTTTCGAGCTCGGCTTAGCAACCGAATTTGGTACCGTGACACGTGTCGCCGATATATCGCTGTCCTTGTCGCAAGACATCCTCGCGACGATTCGTAATAATTCGGACATCCTCGATCGGATGATCTAATACCGTTGTCGCGGGAGCTGACTCTCGTTCCAGCTCTCATGGTGTAAACCAAAGTTACTTTCGCTGTGAATAAATTCAATTCGATATATACGTTAATTCCGAGTGTTTTACGTTACAACACCCTTCTATCCTTCACCGAATCCCACAGTTCGTTTTGCCCGAAAACACTTGAAATGCTAAAAACAGTTCAGGGCCTCCAATTTTTGAGCTACCAAGTTTTTTTTTCAAAATTTTCGGAAAAATATGTGGAACAACAATTACGAGCCAGTTTTTTGGAATTTGACTCCTACACAGCTGATTTAGTTTTTTTTTAATATGGAAAAATTCACTATTTGTGTAAAAAAATACAAAAAAAGCAAATTTAGCCATGTAAGAGTTTGTTTTATTGATTGAGATATCAGGATAAATTAAACGGGAATGGATTGGTTTTGACAAGCCGAACATTTTTTATTAAAATTTTTTTGTTATACAACTCAAAGGTGCAGAGCAATATCCATTTGAACAATTCAATTCTTAATAACTTTTGAATGCATCACTTGAGCGTTGGCTAACAAACAAATTTGGATTCTACGACCTAAAAAACATAACAACACAAACTTGACCCATGCATCTCATAGTGCATACCTTTTCACCCGAAGCGTAAGGACTACCCACTAGTGACACGGAGGGAAATCTGTTGTTCTTTCGCAAAAAACCAATCGCTGAACAAAAAAGAAATTTTTTTGTTCAGGGAGTGGTTTTCTGCAGGAATACAGTAGATTCCTCACTACCTCGCCTTCTACATTCAATCATCGCCGGTTCATCATTAAGAAAAATCTCTATTATTTGAAGAGGAGGATTGAATAAAATCGAAGTTTAATCCATTCGGAGACAAATTGTTAATTGATCAACAACAATAGCTATGCTCAGTTATATCCAATGCAATTATTCACTTGTTTTAAGTTGTTAACGTCTTTCTATTTGCAATAATGTGAGAAATAGACATTATCGAAACATAGACATGACAGAAATAGAATTAGACATTATTGCTTACGACCAATAAAATTGGTGGGGGAAAAATTGCAAAAACAATAGTCGCACGCGAGTGATATTATACGCATCTTTTTAAATGTATTGAGAACTATTGAGTTTAGAGAAAAATGTTAGATGTTGTTTGTTGAGACTTCAACATATACAGAACTGAATTTTTTTGTTAAAGCTGAACAATTGCTATTGCTACAAAATATTTTTTGATGGGGGCACGTTTTAGGTGAATATTTCGAAAATGTAATTATCTCGGTAATCAATGAGTTTCAAGGGAAATTATTAAGAGACATTTTTCCCCTGCATTTGCGGAATAAGTCGCATGAATTTCAGTATTTGAAACATTTTTGAAATTTATAGTAGAGAAATTCCACGTCAAATCTGAAATGAAAAAAATGTCATGTTTCCGATTATTCTGCCGATTTTTTTTTTGAGAAGGAATATGTAAGACCAAGCTTTCATGAAAATCCGCGAGTTATGATTTTTCAAGAAATTGCACTTTTTCCACTTGAATTTTGATTGTTTGAGAAAACAATTAGTCGAAAAAATGACTTATTACAAGCCATATTCCACTTCGGAACATATAACTATTACACCTGAACGTTACAGTGAAGGGACAGGGAGGGGGCACAACCCATTGCTTCGCGTAAGTCTCGAATCGTCTCGGTGTGAGAGAAGTGGGGGTCCGTCCGAGTATTAGTGCGCCATAAGAGGAGCACGCTGGCGAACGCACACCACTACCAAACGGCGAAAAGTGGAGCACCGTGAGACGAAGCAAAGGGTTACGAATCCTTATTTATTTGATAATTCATGAATTTACGGCGAATTGCATTTTATAATCGTTTTGGAATTGTGATAGTGTTGGTTTTTGACTTTTTCAATGTTGTCGCCCCACATAAAATGTTGAAACAACTTGTGAAGACATTTTTTTCCTCAACAGGAAATTCACAGAAAGACCCAGGTCCACATGGTAACATCAAAATGTCTTCGAATGAAGTGGAACTCAAGCCTCTCTACCGATTATCATTCCCACACTGAGAAAAAATTTTTTTTTGCCAAGTATCCATTTACTTGAGAGAAGTATTCGTTTTTTTAATACCGTATTTCTCCAGTCGAGTCATTCCCAGGCAATACTCATTAGATTTCAATTATGATAATTATATAGTTGTAGAAGATGATCATGTTAGTTATGACCTTGAGTGAACTCCGTCAATAATTATCGACATTAAAAAATTGATCGAAATTTTTCCTTGTGGAAAACGAGAAATTTAGGAAAAATGAATAATCATTGGAGGAGTGCATCCAAGGTCATGCGTAACATAGTCATCCTCTAAAGCAACATGATTGTCATAATTGAAACTTCATCAGGCTTACCTGGGAATGCCTCGACTGGAGAAATACGTTATTGAAAAAATAAATAGTTCTGTCAAGTAAATGGATGTGGGAATGATATTCGGTAGAGGCTTGAGTTCCATTCCATTCGAAGTCACTTTGATGTTGTCATGAAGACCTGCGTCTTCATATGAATTCCTTGTTGAGGAAAAAATTATCTCCATAAGTTGTTTCAACATTTTATGTGAGGCGACAACATTTAAAAAGTCAAATACTCGCACTTTCACAATTCCAAAATGATTCGAAACTGTAATCCGTCTTAAACTAATTGATTATCAAATAAGTCCGGATTCTTAATTGTCCGCTCCCTCGCCGTAACGATCAGGTAAATAGTTATATGTTCTGAAGTAGAATATGGCTTGAAATTCATCACTTTTTTAACTATTACTAGTTATAAAATTTGTTTTCTTTGTCATTTACGCATTGTTTCCGGAAAGGATTTTTTCGGGAAAAAAAATCACTCATTTAACGAAGAATGAGTGCAAAATAATTATTGTCCTTTGGTGAAAATGTCGGTAATTATGTCCCCAAGTTGACCCTAAAATTTCAGTTAAAAAAAATAAAGTTTTGATTTTGCCACAATGGCTCCAAAAATTGAATAAATTAAGTTCGATTGCGCTCATTTTGAAGCTTTTCTAATTACCTTTTAATGTATGGAAATGAAAATTCGATTCCTAATGGTTAATTCCAATTATTTCGATTTTTTCTCAAACAATCAAAATTCAAGTGAAAAAAGTGCAATTTTTTTTGGAAAAACCGTAACTCGTTCAAAAAAATATCGTATCCCCCTAACATTTTATAAGAGCTTGTCTCATGTATTCCTTCTAAGAAAAAAATCGACAAGACAATCGGCATTTTTTTCAACTTCGCATTTGACGTGGAATTGCTCAGCAATATTTGGCTCTCTTGCAGAGCCTCAATCGCGGAGATCGACTAGGAAGTCCCTATTCCCTTTCTATTACAAGATCATTACCGTCGTTGATACCCAGCAATAGTTCAGCCGATGCTATCATCAATATGATCGTCTCCGTATCCTCGTACGTCATACGTGGAGCTGGCACATCGAGTCACTACGAGTACGAAGTTCGAGTCGTTGCTGTTGATGACAGTTGGACACTTTTACGTCGTTACAGACGATTTAGGGAGCTTTATGTCAGTATGAGGCAGAAATATGGTGGCAAGGTAGTTAAGATAATTTCTGTAAACTTTATTTAAGGTACTTCTTCCTCAGTGAGTTATACTTGGTGAAAATTTTGCAATGAGCTGAAGACCTAAAATTCGGATCATATGTTGTTGAGCATATGTGAAAATGATTCCCAAAATTTCAAGTATTTTTTCCACGCGAATTTTTGAGATATGCACCAACAAAAACTTAAAAAAGAGAAAAATTGAATGTTTGACCATGGATATCTCAAAAATTCGCGTGGAAAAAATACTTGAAATTTTGGGAGTCGTTTTTACATGTCCTCAATAACATATGATCCAAATTTTAGGTTTTCAGTTCATTGCGAAACTTTCACCGATTATACGTCGCTGAGGAAGTACCTTAAGTTGAAAGTATTCGAAAATGCTCTAACTAAATTAAAAAATTGTCTTAATCGTGTTGTTGTGGTTTTCAGGTATCAGCAATTCGTTTTCCGCCACGACAGGTATTCCCAAGGTACGAAGTAGTTGCTAAACAGCGAAGAAAACGTCTGGAAGAGTATCTGAGACGATTAATTCAAGTCTGCTCAGAATTACCCAATTGCGAGCCTCTCTATAAATTCAGAGGGAATCTTAGTAACCTCGATAAGCAATCACTCCTCGAATTCAGCCCATTCTTCAGGCGTGGCACCTTTGAGAGCAGTAAATACGGGACCAGCTAAAAAATGCTATTTGGGCCACATTGTTGGCTCTTATTATTCCTCATTTTATTTAATTCGACAACTGATCATTTTACAATTTCAATTTCTTATTTATTTTTCATTTCATGTTCAAGTTCTGATACTTTTTTATGAAGAGGATACAATGGGGAATGGGAAATCTACATATCATCACACATTTGCGGTAATTGTGGCTTTTTAGAGTCAACGATTCTTGAAATTATTACAGAATAAGGAAGTAAAACCCAGTTGAAAAATTCTGATTGAACAATTATGTCGGTAATAAAGAATTCTAGGAGGAAATGTCAGAAAATAGCTTTTGAAGGAAATTTTATCAACTACAAAAAAGATCTATCAACCTTTTCTCCTAAATTCAATAGTTTCGGAAATAATTACGAAATCGGAGAGCAACAACTGTAAAAGAAAAATTGGAATGATGAATTTATCTCATTAATGAGATTTCCTAGTCGCGGAAAACTTTCTATTTGATTGACTTTAGATATTTAATCCCTTCCCCATTTAGTCAATTACAAAATACACGTTATTTGTTTGTTTCCCATTGGGAACAATTATTCGATTGAT